GGACAAATGCTGCAGCCCTTCTTCCTGATAAGGCAACCACTCAGCATAGAATCATGAAATGGTTTGGGTTGGAAAGGACCTTAAAAATCATTTAGTCACAAACTCTCCCCAGAAAGGTACTCTGCTTTTGTAGGGTTCTCTGTCTTTGAAAATCATGTTCTCATCCTTCAGGCATGTAAAGGAGCAACTGCAATTTATAGCCCATTGCTCTGTGTTAGTCAGAATTGTTATGTATAAATATGGAGCTGTACAGGAACAAATTTTCAGGGATTATTCATGTTCAAATTTATTTTTTTTCCAGACCAGAATGAAAACAAAGATGAGGTTCACTGCTGGTGCCAAGTTACGTATACAATTATCTTAATATTAGTCATTAAGTTATTATTAACCTAGTATTAGTTATCAAATTAATATTAATTATCAGTTTAAAATGTTGCAGGAAGTTTTTCTGATGAAGGCTAGAGAGTAGATTATTTTCTTTTTCCATAAATGAAAAATAATGTATATATCATAAAACAAATTCTAGCTATGTGCACACAATTTCTCAATGAAGCTTTAATAGCCACAGACGTGTCAGCCATCAGTGCAATAGCTCTCTGCCCAAGAGCTGTCTGCTGGCAGCAGTCAAAAATAGTTAACTGGGCTATTGGACATTTTTAGAAAGGAACAGACAGCACAGCAGAAAACATGACTAGGTAGCTCCATAGATCTGTGATGTTGTTTTGGATATCGTATGCAGTTCTTGTCCCAACACCTAGGGAAGGTTACAGTAGAAATATGAAGGGAACACAAAAGGATCGCTAGAATTTCAGAGGCTGAAACCATGGTGGAAAAAAAACCAAACCAAAACAAATTAGAACTTGTTAAATTTATTAGATTGCTTCAAGCTGAAAAAAAATGGTAGAAGTCCTTGATATTTATGAAGATAATAGGGGAACTGTATAACTCTGCCTTGCCATATAAACAGAAATAAAGGAGCAGCAAATTATTATCAGGCCTCAAGAGAAAAAAAAAAACAACCAATTTGCACATATTCTGTAATTCAACTCTGAAATGCTCTGCCACAGCACATGGCTGATGACATCAGTTCGAAAAGCAAACACAGAAGTCTCTGAGGGAACAATTCAATGAGACTGCTCGCACTAGTTATTTCACATAATCTCCAGATCAGGAAGTCAACAGACTGCAGGAATACTGTGCATCTGTTGTGTAGGTTGCCATCAGAAAAACTTTTCCCAGTGTCAAGATTCCCCAGGCAGGTGGATCATCACCAGTTTGGGTGATAGAAAGGGCAAATTCTTCCCTGATCTGAGACAATGAGGGTGGGTAAAACTCAGAGATAAATGATATACGTACATACATTCTAAAATAAGTAAGATTCATGCTGGTTGCTGTCATGGTTTGAGCTGTCCCCCCTAGGGGGGCTGAAAGTGCTTGGTCCCAGTTGAGTTTCTGATGAGAGGCCAATCAGAGCTATTTTTCTCCCCAGTGAAACTAGAACATTACAACAACCATAAGTTGTTGGCAGAGTGTGAGAGAGAGATTCGGAGCCATGAGGTGAGAGGAGGGAGGTCTGTCGACCCCCTCGTGGGGGGGCAGGGCCTCTTCCCCCACCCAGCCGGGCTGCAGGGAGCCTGGAACAGTATTATAACTGGACCAGGTGCCCGTGGCCAAAAGGCTAGGGGGCTTTTCCCCCTCACTGCCCAGGAGAGGCGGTGGCGTGGACTTGGAGGCCAGCCAGGGGGGTTGGAGCTAGTGAACCCCCTGGCAGGAAAGCTGAGTATTGGAGCCGAGCCACAGACGGACCGAGGGGTGGTCCGGAGCCCACAAGCTGACTCCCTGGACCTTTGTGATGAAGACCTGGTAAAGCAAGTGTTCCCTTGTAGCTCAGGAGGAGACCTCAGCAGAGGCTGAGGGCTGGTGGGGGTGCAAGAAGACCCCTTCCCTGATGCCCCAATGAGAGAAAGACCCTTAACTATCGCCCTGAAAACTTCTCCTGAACTGATGTGGGAGGGTCCAGGGGTGGTAGAAGTTGTGTTAATACTGTATATTTCTTTGCTTCTTAGTTTCTATAATATTGTCCTAGTTAGGACAGCTGAGATCAGTTCATCATGGTGGGTGTAACCCAAAACTGTATTCTATAGCCTTCCATGTCATTTCCCAGAAACTAGACTATTGTTGTCAATAGACTATTCGCACCCTCTGCCCATAGAGCATGGTGGGTGTAAACCAAAACTGTATTCTATAGCCTTCCATGTCATTTCCCAGAAACTAGACTATTGTTGTCAATAGACTATTCGCACCCTCTGCCCATAGAGCCTGACTCCTCAGGCTATAAACTAGGTGTTAAGAGGCCTGTGAGATAGGAGGATGTTTCTGTCCTCACACCCTTTGTGAAACTCCCCGCCCTGAGGGGAGTACCAAGCATTCCTGCCTGAACTGGAGGATATATAATCTTGGAGTTTTGGAACATTTTTCAACCCACTCGTGGGATCCAGAGGACGGCTGCATCTCATCGCTCTCAACCAGACTTAGACCACCACTGGACTGCGATCACCAGTTCTGGCCAGACTGCAGCAGCTCTCCCACCAGCAGGTTCTTCCCCTCTCCCTTTACTTTGGACTCAAACAGGGCCCAAGGAACACCACTTTGTTCAGGCCCCAGGGTACTGGGTTACACATTTGGGTTTTTGTGGGTTGAGACCAATTGTTTGTTTGTATTATTGTACTTACTGTATTATTTTAATAAATTGTTATTCTGACTTATAATCTCTCCTTTGAGTTGGGTTCATTCCCCCTGCTGGTTAACTTTTAAACCAGCACATTTTGGCGCCCAAACGTCGGGCAGAGAGAGAGAAGTCAGAATCACAATTTCATTTGAAGCATTTGTCTATTTGAATATAGAAACTCCCTGATCACCATGTTGTTTGATGCACTCACATGGATGTTGTATTTGAGCCTGTTCATATTTCCACAGATGGCGTATTATTTGCCTGTTTTGATGCTCTCTTTAAGACCAGGGAGAGGGATCCAAATTGCTTTATTAGTATATTATGTTTATGTCATTCTAACATCAGAAGCAATGAGTTTCATTGTAAATGTGTATTCAGTCCTGTTTGCCTGTCCTGGTTTGGGTTGCTACCTCTGGGGCCTCATTAAAAATCGTACCCAGCTTTTTGGGGGAACAGGGGTGGATGGTTTCCAGCCTCCCACCTCCTTCTTCCCCTTCAGACCTGCTAAAACAGTTTTTGAAAATATTGAGTTCCCTTTTGATGTTAAGGACAGCATAATGTTATTGTTAGTGTTGCTCTGTCTGCTCTGTACTGTGTACACCATGTTTAGGGTCAGAAAAGTGCCTTTTAGGGAGGTTGGTTGGACACCTGCCCTGGGAGCAGATAATGCTGAGTGGCACAGGAAGTGGGAGGACATCAGCCAGTATTTGGAAAAGTTTTCTCCTCCAATGATCTGGAAATTCACCCCTGAACAACTGCAGGATCCTGTTAGCATGATAAGACTGGTGAAGGAAAAATGCTCTGGCAGCTCCAGAGATGGCCAGCTCACAGCAACCTGCTGGGCCCTGGCCACTGCCTACCGGGCACTGCTTGACATGATACAGCACTGTCAGGGCGAGGAGAGAAGGAGCAAATCCGCAGACACCACGTCCACCCAAACCACAGCTGAGTCAGAGGGAGAAAGAAATGAACCAACCAGCACCGTGTCCACACAAACCATCGAGGAGCCAGAAGAACAAGCAAAACCAATAGCAGTCGCCCCTGTCCAGAAAAGGAAATCAAAGACTAAATCAGTTCGCATAGCAAATGATGACGAAGAGGCGGGACCTTCACATCCACCGGAGGAGACAGAGCCAGAAATAATCACTCGGTCCCTATCCCTGGGTGAGCTACGTGAGCTCCGGAGAGAGTTCACACGACAGGCGAACGAGTCCATTCTGACCTGGCTGCTCCGAATCTGGGATGCCGCAGCTAACGATACGATCCTAGATGGGAGTGAAGCCAGACAGCTGGGATCCCTGTCTCGAGATGTAGTCATTGATCAGGGGATTGGAAGGAGGCAGGAAACTCTCAGCCTCTGGCGGCGACTGTTGTCCAGTGTGAGGGAGAGATACCTTTGCAAGGAGGACCTCCACGTACAGCAAGGACAGTGGAACACGATGGAACAAGGTATCCGGTGCTTAAGGGAGTTAGCTGTACTGGAGATAATCTTTTCAGAGGATGAAAGATTCCCTAAGAGTCCAGATGGCGTACAGTGCACCTCCCAAATGTGGTTAAAGTTTGCACGACTCGGGCCAGAAATGTATTCCCGCTACTTAGCAACGCTGCAATGGAGGGAGGGAGAGGACAAGGTGGGAGCATTGGTTAGCAAACTCAGGATTTATGAAGACACTGTCACCGCCCCATTACGAGCCCACGTCTCATCTGTGGAAACCAAACTGGCTGAACACGTCCGAAGCCTAGAAGAGAAAATTGAAGAGGGACACCAGAAGCTAAGAGAAGAGATTAAGGAAGGGATTTTCCATATCTCGCCAGGACGAACAAGAGTCTCTGCTATCAGGAGCCAGCGTCCCCCAGCTAAGGAGAGAAGGTACACTCCACGTGGCGATCTATGGTTTTACCTCCGTGAGCATGGAGAAGATATGAGGAAGTGGGATGGGAAACCCACCTCTTCCTTAGCAGCCCGGGTACGTGAACTGAAAAGAGGAACAAATACCATAAAGAACTCTTCAAGGGTAAACGTTGCTCCAGTCTCTCGTGGGCAAGACTCCAGACGGTACAGGAATGATGATACGTCTGATCCTCTTGAAGGGACCTCCAGGTCATACCCACAAGAAGAGCACAATGAGTACCATGACCAGGACTAGGGGTGCCCTGCCTCTAGCCAGGTAGAGGAGAGGGACAATCGAGTCTATTGGACTGTGTGGATTCGGTGGCCTGGCACATCAGAGCCACAAAGATATAAGGCTTTAGTGGACACTGGCGCACAATGTACATTAATGCCATCAAGATACGTAGGGGCAGAATCCATCTCTATTTCTGGGGTGACAGGGGGATCCCAACAGCTGACTGTACTGGAAGCTGAAGTGAGCCTGACTGGGAAGGAATGGCACAGACACCCCATCGTGACTGGTCCAGAGGCCCCGTGTATCCTTGGCATAGATTACCTGAGGAGTGGGTATTTCAAAGACCCAAAAGGACTTCGTTGGGCTTTTGGCATAGCTGCTGTGGAGACGGAGGAAATTAGACAGTTGAACACCTTGCCTGGTCTCTCAGAGGACCCCTCTGCTGTGGGACTGCTGAAGGTTGAAGAACAATTGGTACCGATAGCCACAGCAACAGTGCACCGTCGGCAATACCGCACCGACCGAGACTCTGTGACCCCTATACATAAGATGATCCGCGAACTGGAGACCCAGGGGGTGGTCAGCAAGACTCGCTCACCCTTTAATAGCCCTATATGGCCAGTGCGTAAGTCCAGCGGAGAGTGGAGGCTGACGGTGGATTACCGTGGACTCAATGAAGTCACACCACCCCTGAGTGCTGCTGTGCCGGACATGCTGGAGCTCCAGTACGAGCTGGAGTCCAAGGAAGCCAAGTGGTATGCCACCATTGACATAGCCAATGCTTTTTTCTCCATTCCTTTGGCAGCGGAGTGCAGACCACAATTTGCTTTCACTTGGAGAGGTGTGCAGTACACCTGGAATCGACTGCCTCAGGGGTGGAAACACAGTCCCAGCATTTGCCATGGACTGATCCAGACTGCACTGGAAAAGGGTGAGGCTCCAGAGCACCTACAGTACATTGATGACATCATTGTATGGGGGAACACAGCGGGCGAAGTCTTCGAGAAAGGAGAAAAGATAATCCAGATTCTCCTAAGAGCCGGTTTTGCCATTAAACGGAGTAAGGTCAAGGGACCTGCTCAGGAAATTCAGTTCCTAGGAGTGAAGTGGCAAGATGGACGCCGTCTAATTCCAATGGAGGTGATCAACAAAATAGCAGCCATGTCCCCACCAACCAGCAAGAAGGAAACACAGGCTTTCCTGGGCGCTGTGGGCTTTTGGAGGATGCATATCCCCGAGTATAGTCAGATTGTAAGCCCTCTCTACCTTGTGACACGGAAGAAAAATGATTTCCAGTGGGGCCCCGAACAACAACAAGCCTTTGAACAAATTAAACAGGAGATTGCCCATGCAGTAGCCCTTGGGCCAGTAAGGACAGGACAGGACGTGAAGAACGTGCTCTACACCGCAGCCGGGGAGAATGGCCCTTCTTGGAGCCTCTGGCAGAAAGTGCCTGGGGAGACCCGAGGACGACCGCTGGATTCTGGAGTCGGGGATACAAAGGATCTGAAGCCAGCTATACACCAACTGAGAAAGAGATCCTGGCTGCCTATGAAGGAGTTCGAGCTGCCTCAGAAGTAATCGGCACCGAAGCGCAGCTCCTGGCACCCCGACTACCAGTGCTGGGCTGGATGTTCAAGGGAAGAGTTCCTTCCACACATCATGCCACCGATGCCACATGGAGTAAGTGGATGGCTCTGGTCACGCAGCGAACCCGGATAGGGAATCCTAATCGCCCTGGGATTCTGGAAATTATCACCAATTGGCCCGAAGCTGAGAGTTTCGGACTATCCTCTGAAGAAGAGGAGGAGAAGGTGACACGGGCTAAGGAGGCCCCACCATATGACAAGCTACCCGCAGATGAAAGGCGATATGTGCTCTTCACGGATGGCTCCTGCCGCATTGTAGGGACAAACCGAAAATGGAAGGCAGTTGTATGGAGTCCCACACGGCGAGTTGCAGAAGCGACCGAAGGACAAGGTGGGTCAAGTCAGTTTGCAGAGCTTAAAGCCGTTCAGTTGGCTTTGGATATAGCTGAACGAGAGAAGTGGCCAAGACTCTATCTCTACACTGACTCATGGATGGTGGCCAATGCTCTGTGGGGATGGCTGGAGCGATGGAAAAAGGCCAACTGGCAGCGCCAAGGGAAACCCATCTGGGCGGCGGAGATGTGGCAGGACATCGCTGGCCGGGTAGAGAAGCTGAGTGTGAAGGTCCGTCACGTAGACGCTCATGTAGGCAAGAAACGGGCTAATGAGGAGCATCGTAACAACGAGCAGGCGGACCAAGCTGCCAGGATTAAAGTCTCTCAGGTAGATCTGGATTGGCAGCACAAAGGAGAATTATTTCTGGCTCGATGGGCCCATGACGCCTCCGGTCACCAGGGGAGAGATGCAACATACAGATGGGCTCGTGACCGAGGGGTGGACTTAACCAAGGACATTGTCTCACAGGTCATCCATGACTGTGAGACATGTGCTGCCATCAAGCAGGCCAAGCGGGTGAAGCCTCTATGGTATGGTGGACGGTGGTCAAAGTACAGGTATGGGGAAGCCTGGCAAGTTGACTACATCACGCTCCCCAAAACCCGCCAGGGTAAGCACTACGTACTGACCATGGTAGAAGGAAGCACTGGATGGTTGGAGACATACCCCGTGCCTCATGCCACTGCCCGGAATACCATCCTGGGCCTTGAAAAACAAGTCCTGTGGCGACACGGCACCCCGGAGAGAATTGAGTCTGATAATGGGACCCATTTCAAGAATGGCCTCGTAGACACCTGGGCCAAAGAGCACGGCATTGAGTGGGTGTATCATATCCCCTACCATGCACCAGCTGCTGGAAAAGTTGAGCGGTGCAACGGACTGCTGAAAACCACTCTGAAGGCACTGTGTGGGGAGACTCTCAAACACTGGGAGCTGCATTTAGCAAAGGCCACCTGGTTGGTCAACACCCGAGGTTCCATCAATCGAGCTGGCCCTGCTCAATCAGAACCTTTGCATACTGTAGATGGAGATAAAGTCCCCGTGGTACATATGAGAGGAATGTTAGGGAAGACTGTTTGGATTAGTCCCACCTCAAGCAAAGGCAAACCCATCCGAGGGATTGTTTTTGCTCAGGGACCTGGTTCCACATGGTGGGTAATGCAAAAAGATGGGGAGACACGTTGTGTACCACAAGGGGACCTAATTTTGAGTGAGAATGGTCTGTAATGTTTCATTGTATATATATAGATAGATAGATATATAGATAGATAGATAGATGTATATAGTTTTAAAGGGATATAGTTTTTAAAGGGGGTTAATTTGGGCATGACATGGATGGCATAGAATAAGGGGGGGATAATGTCCTAGTTAGGACAGCTGAGATCAGTTCATCATGGTGGGGGTAACCCAAAACTGTATTCTATAGCCTTCCATGTCATTTCCCAGAAACTAGACTATTGTTGTCAATAGGCTATTCGCACCCTCTGCCCATAGAGCATGGTGGGTGTAACCCAAAACTGTATTCTATAGCCTTCCATGTCATTTCCCAGAAACTAGACTATTGTTGTCAATAGACTATTCGCACCTTCTGCCCATAGAGCCTGACTCCTCAGGCTATAAACTAGGTGTTAAGAGGCCTGTGAGATAGGAGGATGTTTCTGTCCTCACACCCTTTGTGAAACTCCCCGCCCTGAGGGGAGCACTGAACATTCCTGCCTGAACTGGAGGATATATAATCTTGGAGTTTTGGAACATTTTTCAATCCACTCGTGGGATCCAGAGGACGGCTGCATCTCATCGCTCTCAACCAGACTTAGACCACCACTGGACTGCGATCACCAGTTCTGGCCAGACTGCAGCAGCTCTCCCACCAGCAGGTTCTTCCCCTCTCCCTTTACTTTGGACTCAAACAGGGCCCAAGGAACACCACTTTGTTCAGGCCCCAGGGTACTGGGTTACACATTTGGGTTTTTGTGGGTTGAGACCAATTGTTTGTTTGTATTATTGTACTTACTGTATTATTTTAATAAATTGTTATTCTGACTTATAATCTCTCCTTTGAGTTGGGTTCATTCCCCCTGCTGGTTAACTTTTAAACCAGCACAAATATTTATTGTGTAAGTAATAAATTATAATATAATTCCCCCATGCTGAGTTGTGCTTGTCTGAAACTTCTCTTCCATGTTGAGATAAATTGTGTGGGGAGCTTGGAGATTGGATTTTTGAGGTCAAACCCTCACAGTTGCTTACATTCATTCACATACCAGGAAGAAGCTTAGATACGAAGGGCACGTACAAAAGGCCATTATTCCAAAGTGTTAAATAATTAACAACATGGGAGCCCTGTGCAGTTTCACACAGGATGAACTTGATGAGATTAATCTGAAGTAAAAGTACAACATAGCGTAGATTTGTCAATAGATACTCAATTGGCTTTCTGAAGGGTGTGAACTTGCCTTAGCTAGAAACATAACATTTAAAAGGCAAAAGGGGGAAATTTCCAGGACATTGTGATAGTTTCTCTGAATTATATTATCTTCTATAATGAGAAATTGTCATTCCTTAATTTTTTAAATTATTTACTAGTCATAAAGGTAACACAAACTTATGTTGCTGTTAGGTTATCATAAAATCATAGAATCATAGAATGATTTGGGTTGGAAAGGACCTTAAATACCATCTTGTTCAAACTCCCCTGCCGTGGGCAGGGACACCTTCCTCTAGCCCAGGTTTCTCCAAGCCCAAACCAACCTGGCCTTGAACACTTCCAGAGATGGGGCATCCATGGCTTCTCTGGGCAGCCTGTGCCAGGGCCTCACCACCCTCATGGTGAAGAATGTCTTCCTAATATCTGGGGTACGTTTAACTTTTTCAGGTCAAAGCCATTGCCCCTTGTCCTATCACTACAGAACCTGGTAAAAAGTCTTCCTCCACATTTCCTGTAAGCCTCTAATGTGTTGAGAGGCTGCTGTGATGTCTCCCTGGACCTTTCTCTTCTCCAGTCTGAACAACTCCAACTCTTTCAGACTTTCTTCATAGGAGAGGTGTTCCAGCTCTCTGTTCACTTTCCTGGCACTTCCACTCCATTATGTCCACATCCTTCTCGTACTGGGGAACCCAGGGGTAGATGCAGCACCTGAATTATTTAAACCTGTTGGGCATTTTTGCTAGTTTTCCCTATGATGCAGGGAAAAAAAGAAAAACAAGCATCCCAAATTTCCTCTCTCTTCCTCAACAAATGACTTCAGCATATTTTATGTCAAATATGTTTTTGCTCCTCTTAGGATGTGTAATTTAAGAAAGTTCTGATCCAAGTCAGAGGTTCACTGAAAACTGTTTGAAACCCTTCCCATTGAGAAGCTTGTTTTAAAAAACTAAAGACAAAACTTCTTGATTAAAGATTTCTAAAACAGATCTGAATTAATAACTTTTTAGAAGATTATTCTTTCTCATAAATTTCTAAAGCAGAAAGGTCGGTGGATTTTTTTCCCCATTCTTGTATGTAAGGATATTTTTTGTAGAAAATGAAACTATGTTCTGATAAATTATTTTATTAAAACCTAACATCTGTATAATCAAATCATACCTTGTATTCTGATAAACTGTACCTGCATAGATTTATAGCTGACTTTAAAAGGAATTTGTTACACAAATACTGTTAGGAAATCAATAAGCCCTGATTTGGAGAAGGTTGTTTTGTTTTGTTTCTTTTAAAAAACCCAATAATTGTTGAGAAATTCTGACAGAGGAAGTTTGCTGAAACTGCTCATTACTTATGGATAAGACAGAAAAATGCAGGAGAATGAATGAGAATATTTATCTGTCCAGGGAAGTGCCCTGATTAACTTAATTGTCCAATAAATGAAGATTGTTACGGATTAAAGATTGGTTCACCCTTATGCACTGATGCACTTGCCTTGGGCTTCTGCCAGGTCTTAAAGGAAAAAAACAACTCAGTATTCTAATTAATAGATATTGCGGGAATTGATACCTGGCAACTAATCAGACGGTGCTGATTTGTGTTTGTGAGAGTGTGCATGAAGACTGTGAGAAAACAGAAAAGTGCAGTTCGGGTCCTTAAAGTAAATTACTCATTTTGATTTTCATCTGGTTGAACTAATTTTGACTCAACAAATCCCCCATCTTGAAAGTTGAGTGTCAGAGATTGTTTGGAGTGGATGAGGACACAAGGAGCAGCATCCCTCACACCAGCTGCTCAGTAACCTGTAAAAAAAGGCTCGTCATTCCATGTGCTGCTTATTGTGATAATTTTAAAAGTTTTGAGCAAACAGGAGTTCAGGCAGTACATTTATATAGTGGCTCCTTGAAGGTTTGAAAGAAAGACTTTTCAATGCTGTGCTGAAAATGAACAAAGGTTCTCTACACAGTCCTGGGGCCCCGTAACCCAGACTTCGTAATTAACAGTAATTTATTGTCCAGCTTGAAGAGCAGAGCTTGCAGCAGCAAACTGGGTAATTCAGTTGCTTCCAAGGTGTTTCATCAATCTCCTGAAAATTTCAGAATAAATGGTTCTCTCCAAGCCCTTTTCCAAGGAGCTGGAAGAACAAGCCAATTATGTCAGATTGGGGGAACACATTTTCTCAGGATCTTTTACAACACCTGCAGCATGAGCTTCTGCTTGTGAACAAGAGCTCCACACCTGAGCGGTTTGGAACACTGTGTGTTTAACCCTAACTTAAGCCTGACTTTGCTACGAAAACATGGAGTTGCAAACTATTGTTCAGCACATCATTTTTTTTACCTGGAGGCTTGGAAGGCTTTGATCTTGAAAAGACTGCAGGGATCTGTGAAAAGGCAAATTACAAAGTCCTATGCTCAGAAATTAAATTATTTTTCTGATTTTCTTGCCTTTGAAGTTATGTTTTTAAGGGTTCTGCTACCTCCAAATCTTCTATAATGACTAGCTCCACAATTTTTGAACAGTACATAAAATACCAGATGTAATTTTCTGGCATGGTGAGCTTTTCAAAAGCTTTTCTGACATGAAGTTCAGTTCTTTTTAAACTGAAGAAATATCTGAACCCAAAATTAAGCTCTAGTTAAAACTTATATGTGTCAGTGTGTGTAATTAGAAGCTTAGATCTAAGCAGTGTCTTTTCAACTGAATTTTGTGTGAATTTAATATCTTCTATGACCCATGTTTCTTGTGTAGATTATGAATGCCAAATAAATACAGTCTTTGTTCTTCTGATACAACCCTATTCATGATATAGTAGAGCATTACTAGTACCCTGCAGACAAAAAGAAAAAAAAAAAAAAGAAAAAAGTTAAGTTGATTATAATTATACTTTTCTATTTCTGCTTAGGCATGACTTTCTTTTCACTACTCAAAATTGAGTATAGAAGCTGAAATTAATTCATCCATGTGAAAGATAAATAGACAGCTCTACTTATCAATGATATTCTTGGTTTTCTCTCAGTTTGCCATCCTATTTAGCTGCCTAAACAGCTGCACAAAACATAACGTAAATGTGCTGTCTGTAGTAGGAGAAAATATAAACTGTATCCACCACAAGCTGCTCAAATATGCTCGATGAATGTGGGCTAGGCAAAAATGGATGGAATATTTAATATGCATCTGTCTTCCTAAAAAGTAAAAACCCACCTTTCCACCTCACCCTGCTGATGCCTGGGAATTCCTGCTGAGAGAAAGGAGAGGGATGAGGATGAAACAGGCATGGTGCCAAGCTGGCAGATGGTTGAGTTCTACCAGTGGCACTGGAGCGGCTATTTATTTTACTTTTTATTTAAATGCTGGTAAGAACTTAACCTGGAGTGAATAAGTAGAGAACACCAGACTTAGAAGCCCTTTTCAGGACTGTGTCAGCTGAAGGGCAGAGGGAGTCCAGACAGAAAACAGTGAACTGAACCACTGTGGTGGGAACGAGCAGCTTTGGGCTCAGTCACTGCTTGTGGGATTCTGTTTAATCATCTCAGAGGTCCCTGTTCTGCTCACTTATATTTCTAAATTCCTACCCTCTTTGTGTTTGTTGTCTTCTGGACCTTTATTTCTCCAAATTATAAGAATGTCTAATGCACATTTGACAGAGGATTTGTAAAAAAAAAAATTGATGTGCATGCTGTCCAAGCAGACAGCAAAATGCCCCCTTCATTTTTTTGCCTGAGAATTCTCTGGGCTCTTATAACACTGAAGCCTTGATCCCCTTAAGTTAAATTGACATTGAGAAGAAATAAATACTTTAAAAACTCGAGGAAAATGGTTAAGTAATAAGTTCTTAAAAAGTATTAGCAGAGGATAATCTAAAAAATAAATATGAGTTTATGAGAGAGGCCAAAACTGTGACTTCTTAGAAATTAAACAACAAAGAAATTATTTTCATAGCACTGATGCCTTAAGC